AAGCCCACATAATAGTCGCAGCGGCCCACGCACTCTGGCGACCGCGATCAGACACGAGCCGGCACCGACGGTCCCCGACGGACTAACAAGTGTATCCATAAACGAAAATGGTAACAACCGACAACCAAGTCGAGGCGAGTCAGCTTCATCGCGTTCACAAAATCTAGACATTATAGGGCGCATTATTTTCTTACGGCTAATTTGGCATTTACTGAAGTACTATTACATATTGCTGTTGGTAAACATATAAATGAAATTATTTCACAGTACTTAGTCATAAAATATTTATTTTCAAGATTTTTATCTGTTACCAATGGTAACAATGGTTACATGGACGCTTCGCCACTGTTATATATCTATTCTTTATGTTTTTAAATTTTTACCAGATCAGAAATAAAATATAAAAAAATTATCCAAGTAAAGAAGATTTAGATCGCAACATTGTCTAATGGATGGGGACTAATTGTATGACCCTATTTGACCGATTGAATCCATTTAGTTGGCTTGTTATACATGATCGTTCTTAACTTTTTCCCAACTTGTGCAGTACATGGTCTTTCATAAACTGATGGCAGCATTGCGTATGAGAGTCCTACCTGCTTGATGCCATTTTTTTGCAGACATTGTGTTACGACTCTGCTCAACCGAATCCATTTACTAATAAAATCCTTGAGACACATACAAAAAAAAATACATAACGTTGAAACAGTTTGACTAATAAACCAAATATTTTTGCAACATAGCCTACTAAGGCTACTTGCGTTAGTGTTAACAACATTCATCAATTAAGCATCTGCAAATGTACCAGGAGCGGAACATAGGGATCAACCATCGTATCTAGCCCCCCCCTCCAGCACAGTATCATTGTTCTGTTTACCTACTTTTCTTGTCTATCTTGGAAACCTTCCCAGATATGACGTTTACATATGTCTTCAAGCTAATCATATCCATATGTCGTGGATCCATGAAGTATTTCTTGATCAGAAATGCGTCCCTGATTCGGCTGCCTACTTTAGAAGCCGCCATACCGCTTGCACAAATCAGTGTTACGTTGTTGAAGGTTACCTATCGAAAAATCATGGAATCACAATGAACATATCTTATTGTCTTAGCCAACAAACGGTAATACAAAAGTAACTTCGAGGTATGGAATTTATGAAATGGAGTATATATAGTCTTGAGCACATGAGACAACTATTACATTTTGACTATTGTAATAACGATTTTGTGTTTTTTGGATGTTATATGACATGTACTTCACGAAAAACCATGTCCCTCATTTCAGCCGACCTTTCACTCACGGTAAAGATACTATCATACCTACCATATCATTTGGATCTTGTTTGCACAACAAAGTCTCCAGAAATGATAGTGCTGTATTACTACAACCTACGACCACTATTCTTGTATTTACTGCATGCCTATTGACGCTACAGTTCGGAACTGTTGATAGGTACAATGCAAATGGTTCTTGATCTTCGACGATTAATTTGCTTGGAGCACATTCTGAAAAAAATGACAAGATACTTAATATGTATTTATATGGCTAAAAGCTCAAATCTTAGGCCTTGGGTGGACGTGTGAGAGCTTTTCGAGTGGTGTTACCTGTTAAGCCTGTGGTCAGGTTGAAAATGTTCATTTCCCAAAAATATCTTTTGACTTTCTGCAGATAACTTGATATAAAGGAAATTTCTGGCTATCCTACCCTGTGTGCATATTTGGTTGGGTAGTAGACATTTCTTTCTACACGATTTCATCAGACGTTATTTGGAAGTAATATTGCAGGGTAGGACTTGCTGATAGAAAGAAGCTTGTGTACTGTGAAATCGGGGGTAAATCTACTTAATGTAATTTTCCATTTGACTTCACAAGAATTTCGTAATTATTCCTTGGAATTGGGATATATTGGCATATTTTAAACAATGCCAACTTTTAAAGTCGTTCTCAGGTC